CGAAATGAAATCCCACCTCTTTCTTTTTTTTCGGGTCAATCACAGCAACGGCTTGAGGGTTTTTTGTCGTAATCGCTACTGTTGCATAGCTCCTTTTTTCTGGTTTCTCTGTTTGTTACTATTTTTCACGATAACTTTTTAGCGTGTACTTTCTCGCTGTGTTTTAGCATGTACGATCTTATGGATGTTTGTCGCTGTGTAAAGTGAATGTGGCTTTATGTATGAGGTGTTTGGAGTGATGATTTTCGAGTAACGCTTTTCGAACGATGTTGTGTAAACGGGTCGGGTGGATGATGTATCTGGGATGAGAGTTTCGAGCATTGGCTTTTCGAACAAATGCTGGGTAAACTGGGTTGGATAAGAATGCACTTTCTGAGGGGGCAAAAAGTGGGAGTTATAGTGAGCGAAACTAATGTGAGGATTACGGGAAGGGGCTTATCTCTCGAATGATTGAAACTGTGAGCGCAGTGTGGCATAACTGAGTGGATGGACGGAGCTTAGGGGAGATAGGTGACGGACAGATCAAGATTCGGGGTTTGACAGTCAGCAGCTACGCTGCCTTCACTTCTACAGTGATCTACTCTCATGATACATGCAATCCCCGCTCTTTTATGCTACCCTCCTCACGTAACGACAACATTATCTCCTTTTTTTCCCCTTCTTTTCGTTTTTCTTTTGCTTTTTTTCCTTTATTTTTCTCTTTTTTTTCTTTTTCTCTCTTTTTTTTCTTTTTTTGCCCCGTTCCTTCTCCCCCCCTCTCCTCCCTTACCTTCTTCTCCTTGAATCATCAACTGTACCCCCCTTCGCGCACTTGTTATATAAACCCACTGCAGCTGCTCCGTCCTGCCGTCCTTCCTACCCCACTGCAGATTTACCCTCTCTCTCTCTCTGACGGTAATAGATTTATTAACGAATCACCCTAGAGCCTAGCTCTTTTTTTTTTTTTTTTTTTTTTTTTTTTTTTTTTTTTTTTTTCGCCTTTTACCCTAGAGCCTAGCTCAGTGGGTACACCATCCAACTGTTAAAATACAGACCCGAGTTCGAATCCAGATGATGATGGAACCACTAGATGAGTAAAACCAAATATTTATGAATTGCTTGGGGGCGGTTAGCTCAATGATGATATCTCAAGACCTGTCTCTTATACACATCTAGATGTGTATAAGAGACAGGCGTATACCATCCAGCTTCAGAAACTGAACGGACTGGCTGAAATATTAAATGAATGCGACGGTGTTGTTGTACTTTATTCATTCATTTTATTCAGTTTCGGTGGTGTTGTTAGAAATCATATGAATGGCAAATTATGGCAAATTAAATGGAAAATATTTCAAAGCATGACAGATATGGTAGATAGGTAGCGATGCTGTTAGCCATAACCTCCTATACTATTCTCTCTCTCTCTCTCTCTCTCTCTCTCTCTCTCTCTCTCTCTCTCTCTCTCTCTCTCTCTCTCTCTCTCTCTCTCTCTCTCTCTTTTCTAGTTTTGCCTTCTCCGCCTGCCAGCCTCCCAGTTAGTCACTGGCCCTGCAATTGCATGTGAAAAGAAAAACAGAAACACAGTCCCGTTCATCGCCTACCAGTCACTGACAGTCCTTAATTAACTACCTTCTTCCTCCGAATACGACGTCCGGTCATTACAGCTGTATTTAGACTGAAAGATGCCTCAAATACAGCTATAATGACCGTACGTTGTATTCGGGGGAAGACTGTAATGATGCTCAGAGGGCACCTGGAGTTCATTGCCAACAGGTCAGCGCCGACCATTCTCTCGCGTCTGCTTTCTCGAACACATCCACTCCTTCCTTTCCTCAGCGGCTTCCATTACCTTTCCTTTATCTTATTCTTATCTGTATCTTATCTTCTTTATCTTTATCTTTATCTTTATCTTTATCTTTATCTTTATCTTCATCTGTATCCTTATCTTTATCTTTATCTTTCTCTCTATCTTTATCTTTATCTTTCTCTTTTCTTTTCTTTCCTTTTCTTTTCGACCGTTCTTATCTTTCTCTGGTCGTAACATCAGTTCGACTGCTCATGTCTTATCTTATCGTACAACTTTTTGAAAGGCGTTGCACTCACCGACTTGCCACGTGTCTTCTCCTTGCTTAGACACGTGGATTGCTTTGTCACTAGAGAGTCCTCCAGCCTACGACACGTGCACTGCCACGGTCAGGTCGACACGTGGGTTCTGTCATTCAGCTCGTTTTGTTTTCCCCCCCGGCATCAGGTCCACAATGAAAGTAATACTACAGTCTTGCCTCGAATAAAACACACCCTGATCATCAATGTATATACTGTATAGAAGAGCTTTCTTTTCTTTTTTCTTTTTTTTTTCTTTTTCTTGGGGGGGGGAAGGGGGCGGTGTGGAGAAAGGCCGGCGGGGCGGGGAAATGGGCCCGGATGCTGGATACGTATGTTTCCATGAGCCGTAGATAGACTGTCGACCAGGTCCTCTGAATTTGGACGTTAATAACCCCATATTTTTATTCGAATAAGATTAAAAAAAAGAGAGAATTTTGATATCACTGCTGTACCTATTGTCACTCAGATCAATTAATTACTCATAGGAACAATCAACTCCCGGGACTCCGAGTTGATTGTTCCTATTAATAATTAATTGATCTGAGTGGTAATGGGTACAGCAGTGATATCAAAATCCTTTTTTTTTTTCTTTTTTTTTTTTTAAACGCTCTTCACGTACCGCTTAGCTCTTTACGTACCTTCTGCAGCTGGACACAGATGCCGTTGCCATTGTTGAATCGTTCATCTTCTTCATCCTGCGCTATAAAAAGAATGACGGTTATTAACGGACGGTAACGGACAGTAACGGAAGGCAGGTGAGCGGGGTTGATGTCAGAAGGCGACAAAGGCTAAACGAGGACACAGATGCCGTTGTCATTCCCGTTGTCCGTTTGGTTCCGTGTAGCGAGGCGCCTTGCACTAACGGCTGACTAACGGATAGGGAATGGCGACCTGTGGTCTCATCACAGAGGGGAGCGGAAAGAGAGAGGGGTGGAATCGTGTGCGTATGTCCCCGGTGTGTGTGTTGGCGGGGGGAGGGGGGAGGGGGGAAGGTCGGGGAGGGTTCCCTACATTCGTCTCCTCCGGAATCCGCTGGCGCATGAACAAAAAGCGGCCCTTTTTCACGGATTTTGTAGAGGAAACAACAATAAATGAAAAGAATGAGAAAAGACAAGTAGTACACACGCAAGAAGAAGCACACGCTTATATATGTTAGGGAATACGCCCTTTGGAAAAAAAGGGCAAAAAAAAAATAAAAAAAAAATCGGTTGTTCTCCTTTCCCATCCAAAATGAGAGGTCGTCCTTCTGGGGCTAGGTCCCACTTACACGCATTAAGCAATATTGACCGTA